GAGGTACCACCTAACACCAGTTAGATTGGCCCACATAAACAAGAACACCAACGACACTTGTTGGCAAGGATGCGGGGAAAAGGGAACCCTACTCCACTGCTGGTGGAGCTGCAAGTTGGTACAGCCTTTATGGAAATCAGTCTGGAGAACACTCAAACAACTCAAAATCTGCATACCATATGACCCAGCAATAGCACTCCTAGGAAAAAAAAAAAGTCTAAAGCAAAGTGCCCCTTCACAGTAAGGGGGTAAAAAAGTATGGAGGGATAACTAAGGAATTGACAAATACTGGTAAAACATTGGTTTGGCTTTGAATAGAAAATCACTCAGTGCGTTACAATATTAGGGGATTCTGTTTGGGCCTTTAAAAGATCTTAAGACTATATTTAAAGACTGTATTATTATCATTTTTTCATGATACATTTTGTAGATATAGAGGTTAACCCCTACTCCTCCTCTTCCTTCTTTCCCACCCTCCATATTATCAGAGTAGTGTAGTCCCTTAGTAAGGCTACATTTTTTAAGTTATCATTTTAACATCCAAAAGGTCTTTTTGATTTAGAATTGGGTCTATTTTTTCAAAATTAACTTCAGATCTTCTCCCTTTGACAACCTGCAAAGAGATGCATGAATCTATTTAAAAAAAAAAAAAAGAGCGAACTGAATTGTAAATGCTAAAGAATTTGGTGTATCTTTAACCACCATTGTCTCCTGATAAGTGATCCCTTTTTAGAGAAAAGTCTGGAGAGGAGCTGCAAAGGGTTTGATTGCAGAGCTGAGGAAGAACCTAAAAGACTGAGTAATAAAGGGGAAAGAGAAAGGAAGAACCACAAATCATCAAAGGAGGGCTAAAACAACCCCATGGAACACTGACTAGGAAGGAAAATGTTCAGTGTTTCACACCATTTGCTAAAGAATGCATCAAATAAAGCTCCTCCGTTATGTCCCCTCACAAAATCTGTAATGAAATCTCCCATATTCTCAAGACTCTTTGCACTGGGGAGGGGAAGTTTCCCGTGAACAAGCTTTAAGAAAAAGGAACAGGTAACATCTGGGTTGTATCAACTTTAAGAAGAGATGCCACTAAATACTCCATGTGCCAAATTTTGAAAGTGTTTCAATTTTTTGTTATGTCAAGATGCACCTCATTTGGAGAAAAGATTACCATTTAGAAATTCAACCTTCAAAAAGTGCTATTCACCAACATAATAATGTATTACAATGGAAACTCATTTGTAAGAAGTGTAATTTCACGGCTCACATAGCGAAACAGCCCATTGGCAAATGATCCTGCCATGTGCAAAGCCGACAAGCAGAAGTTCAAAAAAAAATTATCAATCCAAGATTTAGGAAAGTGAAATTAATTTATTGATTGTGAAACTATTTTTGAAACACTTTTACTGTGAGTTAAGAATTCATTTCACTTTTGGACTTCCACTGTCCCCCAAAGGCCTGAAACTACTCTAATGAGTTTGCTTTTGAACTCATTGTTATTTAAGCCATCAAAGTATGCTTTAGTAACACTGTTTTTTAAAAAGAGAGAATCAAGTACTTTTTCCCCAAATTTTCCTTTCAAAGCTTCAGTTCTCATCAAATAGATCCTAAATAGCTGCTCCTAGACCAAAGGAACCATCACAATGTATAAATAATTGGACTGGGCTAGAGATAAAAGACTCAGCCCTCCGTGCCGTGTTAAAGCACTGAAATCTCTTTCTCTTACTCCAATTGAAACAACATCACTCAGTACAGAGTGCATCAATTCTTTCGTGGGAACAACACAACATCACTCTCACACTTACGAAACTAAAGATAAAACTCAATGTCTACTAGCTGCAAATGCTCCAAATTCAAAGATCTTTGGCTTTTTTATTGTAGGTGTGCAATTGAGGGGGAATATATTTAACAATAATTCACTCTTAGGGAAGACTGACATTTTGGGTAAAATCCAGAAGATGGCAGCACCAAAAACAAATAACCCCCTTCCTCTTTTCTGTATAAACTTTTCCCAGGGTTTCAGTAGCAAGTAATAAATCTCTTGGCCATGGCTCCACATGCCTCCAACTGGCAGGACAAAGACATTGGGCATAGTTCCTTTGCAGCTGCCTGAAGTGTCTGCTAGCCATATTTCTGAACTACTGCCCAAAGTTGCTACAGACCAGAGCCAATGCATATATGTCACATATGAGCACTATATAGCTAGTAATGATAAAAATTTACATTTAAACTGCTCCAAATTCAGTGTTTCAGGATGTACATGTACTAATATGTTTTTAAAGCAGCACATAAGGAGTTTTTTTTCTTCATCTTGTGCTATGAATAAGAAAAGGTAACTTGGCACTTGGTGGTGGCGTTCTCATAGTCTCACTCAAGAAACCACCGTATTTATTAGAACTGAAATCTGCCAACATTCAGCCCATTCACCCAATGTGGTCCTGCCCATTCTTAGATGGGCAGGATTAGATTCTTGAACACACTGTGGAAGAGTACTGTCAATGGACTGACCAATAAAACTTCAAGTTTTAATTACTTAAAGCAGGAAATGGGTTCCTATGATATCATAGGTGAGTTTTCAAAAAATTCCAACCCCTTGCAAAACAGTACCCAAACTAGAAAGATCAAAAAAATTGTATTCTAAAATTGAAAGTAAACTAAGCAAACACTAGAGAAATTGCTATGTGAATTATGAGATGGGATATTACACATGTTAAGGTGTATAAAACATGAGAAAACTTTAAAGATGGGAATACTAAAGTGTAGAAATACACCAACCTGATTACAGGAAATACTGGTATGGAAAAGAAAAACAAAGTTCAAGAAAACAGTGGTAATATTAATGTTTGGACAGTGAAGGTAAACAGGCTGTTTTCTGCCTATTTTTTTCTTATTTTTCAAATCTTTTTATTTTAAAAAAAAGTTGCATTTACAACATAAAAAATGCTAATAATTTATTAGCAGAATTTTAAATCCTAATACCCAATGGGTCTTCACTCAATCAAACAGAAAAGCCAATTAAATAAACATAAAAGTTGTGCTTTTGAAATTGGTAGATGTTCTCATAATTATGCAACTTGTAGGAATATCAGGCTGAATACAGCAGAAAGCATATTCTGATGTAGTAAAAGAAAGCTCTTATCCCTCACCATAATATAGTTTCAAGAAGAAAACCAAATGAGTCATAATTAAAGTGAGCAGCTTTGTGGCAGCATGGGAGACCCATGCAAAGTTTACCAACACTCAGGAAAATAAAGTGGAACGTGTGGCTGCATAAGCAGGTAGGCAAGTACTTTCTGAGATCAAGAGATAGCAAGGAAATGCCCTGACTCCAAGTCACCTGCACCACAACATGGTTCTAACCCTGGATTTAAGATACACAACAGTACTACCCAAAATCACATAGCACACCCAAAGACTCAGCATCTCTTAAAGAAATGGTAAGACTATGCGGAAAATGCTATCACTCTGCAAGCATTGCAGTCAAGCATTTTACAGTAGCTTATTTAATTAACCTTCACAGCAACTGTACACGCATAAGAGACTCCAACAGAACCCCATTTCCCAGGTGCTTACAGAGGTTAAGATCTTACCCAAGACTGCAAAATTATTTGAAACACGATGAAATCCATATTTAATTTAGCTAAATATAAAACATACTCTTAATTCCACACTACGGTGTCGATAATTTAAAACCTGCTAGCCCTGGAAATGAACAGATGGGTCTTCTCTATGGCTTATCCATGTGATATGAGGACGATACTTTCCAAGGCTCCATTGCTACAAACATGGTTTAAGACTAAGATAATTTTCTGCAATTCACATTTAGCACCACTTTCTAAAATGAGTTCATAAAGAACAACTATAGGAATTCATAAAATATGTTGCTGCTGATCAGTAAACATTTTAATTTCAGAAAGATATTAGCTGCTTCCATTCTGTCTAGGCTACCCAACCTCTATGGACAGCTTCAATTTTGTTTAAATTTTCCTTCATGCATGTTTCATTTGTTTTATTATTTCTCTTTTAAAATCATATTATTCATATTAAGTGTCCCAAAGCATTGGCTGAAGTGGTTGATAGCAGACTGGAGTACAAATTTACTTTGTCACAGACCAAAAAAAGAGTGAAAAAGCAATGTAAGTTCAAATCTTACCTCTAAGTTTTTAGGGGGAAGTTCTGCTACTGTGAATAAACATGTGTACTAAAACATCTCTATCTCTAGTACATTGCCTCAAATAGTATTCCTTTGTTGATGAAGGAATTCAAAGGCAATAAAAAAAAATGTGTGTTTTAGTAGGAGGTTCATTTTAAATTCAACCACAAAGTGCATACAAAATTCTCATCATTATCACTTGGTACAGCAATGTGTCAGAAATCTCTCTTGGAACAGGTGTTTGGCCTGGAGGTTAAAACGTCTATTAAGATACCCTGGACTCTCTCATTTAGCAGCATCTGGGTTTGAGTCCCAGCTCCAGCTTCCTGCTAATGCAGACAGTGGGAGGCAGCAATGATTGGGTTTCAGTTCCCCATGTGGGAGTCCCGTATTGCATTGCCAGCTCCAGGTTTCAGCCCCCTACCTAATGTTGGCATCTGAGGAATGAACCAGTGGAAGGGAGCTCGTGTGCTTGCGCCCTTCTTGCTCTCATTTTCTATCAAAAATAGAAGTTCCCTAGCAACACTTTCCAGAAAAAAATAATTAAAACATTCTACAAACTTTTTAATGCATATAAAACATCACATGGACTATTTCTAAACAGTATTACACACAGAAATGAAGAGTGTGTTCCACAAAAAAATATCCCAAAGCAATATGAAATAGATGTCAAGTGGGCAGTATAAACATTTGTTGAGTGTAAAATGGTTCATGAAGATAAAATAGAATCGCAAATCAATTGTTAGTATAACAAAGGCAGGAAGATAAACCTTTAACAAAAAGGAAAAGCCACTGATTAAGGCCTGGTTTGGTAGTTGCAGGAATGCTAGGAATTCAAAAACACATTTCTTACTTGCTATCGATGAGCACTTCAGACTGCCTATTATTCACTTGATCATCACTCTTATGGCGAAACTGAAAAAAAATAAAGTATTTGTGAGAAAACATGAAATAGCATTTTATAAACCCAGTTACACTAAAACCACTTCAAGCTCATCTATTTGGACAATATTGCCACTTTTCCAAGGTTTCTGCTACCTTGAGTCCACGTCACTCATCTCACCGACCCTTATTTCATCATCACCAGAATAAGTCTACGCATGTGCTCTCCCAATTTCCACATATGATTTGTTGATTCTAGAAAGCCAATATGTTCTATATTCTGATGCCTAGTCCCAGGGGAAAAAAAATACATTAATTCTGATTTAGCCAGGAATAGAGTCTTGCATTTCTCTCATACAAGTCCAATACTTGACTGGAACACCATTCATCCATTCATTCCTTTTATGGATTTCTCTAAAGCCAAGAAATTACTTGTAACAACATGCATTTTTATTCTGTCAATCCTAAGTGCTAACAGTGATCTTAGGAAATACTGAGCATCTTAAACAAAAATCAGAATGCAGTATTGTACCACACTTGGTATGTATTTATATGTTATGCTCAAGTGATCACTTTTCTTATTGTATGTTCTTACATTGGCTTGGGGAAGTATAAATGTTATGTGCTATCCATGAAACTCTTCAATTAGAAACCATTCAGACAAATCTTTCTACATAAACTATCAAGATTAGAAACTGGTGGGCTGAAATAGAGCCAAGGTTAATACACAGACAATAGTACAAAGAGCAACACATAGAATAGCTGTAATAAAAACCATTTCTCTAACAAATTAGCCCATATGAAATCATCAGTTAGTGCTTTCTTGTTTCACTCAAAACCCTGTACCTGAGTATTTAGCCTAGCAATTAAGATTCCAGTTAAAGTGCCCATGTCCCAGAGAACATGGGTTGGATACCCAGCAGCAGCTCCTGACTCCAGCTTCTAGCTAATCCAGGCTCTGGAAGGAAGCAGTGATAGATCCAATTATTGGGCTCCTTACACCCATTTGGGAGACCTGGATTGATTTTGTTTCCCAGCTTAGCTCAGTTCACTCCTGGCTGTCTGGGGAGTGAAGGGGCAAATGGAAGATAGTAATTTTATTTGCTTACTTTTTCTCTCTGCTTTTTAAATAAAACAAAAAAAAATCAATTTTCCTTTCCTTCAATTCTTTTTCTTTACATCCTTCCCAAACCTATCCAAATCTTTTTATTGTGATATCCCTGGTACATCAATTACACAGCGTGGCACATACAAGTTAATGGACATTACCAGGAAAAATAACAAAGCTATATACATTTGTTAATGTGAAAATTTATAATGTGTAGAGGGATAAATTAAGTTAGCTCATCCATTAACATGCAAACTTCTTCCTACCAATAAAATAGAAATGGAAACACTATTTTATCAGAGTGCATAGTTTGGTAGGGTTACAGAATATTCCCTGTTTGGTCCTCCATATCTACCACCTCTCCCCTCTTTGCTCTGTGGCTTGGCAAGTTGCCTGTATTGGGTTTGACCAATAGGTGGCATTCACAGGGTATCTAAAGGACAGAAGAGAGTGAAACTGGGGTACTTATTTCCTGGATTCCTTCTACCTGCATTGACTGTGGCTCCTTTCTCTACAGTTGGCCCAGTTGCAAGCAACTCTCTTATAGCTCCACATCTGGTGACTGCTGCTTTCCTTTGCCTCTTCAGGTATAGAGGTTTTATATCATCTACATCATTACCATAGGTGATCATCCTTGCCTGTGCCCTTTGTTAACTGGTCTCTTCATTATTCGATTCTCCAGTCTTCTTTCAAAATGACACCTCTTTCCTGCCCAGTACCCAACTGATGAAGTTATCCAGTTATTGAGCTGACACATATCACAACAATAAACTCATGCTTCAAGTATTCATTGCAGTAAGATCAAATGAGGATGTCATTTTCATTCACATTAGCAACCAACCTAAAGTTGGCCCTAATTGACTAGCTGGACGTCATGGAAATACACTGATCAATTAAGCCCTCAAAGCTCAGCAACCCATTCTCTGGGACTCAACTACTACTCAGGCTTTGTCGAGGTGTCTGAGGAGAAGATAGGGTCCAAAGAACTTAGCAACTCTAATCTAGGCCAGTTCTAAACCAGTGGTAAATACAAAGCCTAATGGGAAAAGAGTTCTGGGACAGGAAAGGGGAAGAACAAGCATTCACTGTGTACTCGATATGAGCCAAGCTCTCTGATGCTTCACATGTATGATCTTTTGTCAACGCAATGTCATTGCAAAAGGATAATTTCAGAGATGTTACCTGATTTGCCTCACTATTCTTGTCACAAAGACAATTCTGTAAGAGAAGCTCCCCAATTACCTTAAACAACGGCAACCTCTCAGAAATGGGTAGAGCCCAGGAGCATCCCAAGCTGAGCACTTTGTTTTTTATTTATGTTATCTTAAATATTTATTTTTATTGCAAAAGCATATTTACAGAGAGAAGGAGAGGCACAGAGAAAGGTCTTATGTCTATTGATTTACTCCCCAAGTGACTGCAATGGCCAGAGCTAAACCATTCCTGAAGTCAGGAGCTTCTTCCATGTCTCCCAAGTTGGTGCAGTATCCCAAAGGCTTTGGACCATCTTCTATCATTTTCCCAGGCTACAAGTAGGAAGCTGAATGGGAAGTGGAGCAGTCAGGACATGAACCAGTGCCCATGTGGGATCTTGATATGCAAGGCAAGGATTTAACCACTGACCCATTACACCATGCCCAAGCTGAGTACTTTAACAGAGAATTAGAAAAACAGAAAATTCATCAATGGGCCCAGCATGATGACTCAATGGCCAATTAGCAAGCTAATCCTCATCCCTGTGGCATCAGTTTCCCATAAGGGAACCAATTTGTGTCCTGGCTGCTCCACTTCTGACCCATTTGTCTGCTTATGACCTGGGAAAGCAGCAAAGGACGGTTCAAATTCTTGGGACCCTGTACCCATGTGGGTGATCCAGAGAAAACTCCTGTCTATAGATCAACTCAACTCTGGTCATTGTGGTCATTTGGAAAGTGAACCATCAAATGGAAGACTTCTCTCTCTGTCCTTCCTTCTCTATATATAAAATATGCTTTTGGGAAAAAAATAAATTAGTTAAAATCTACAAGAAAAAGGCATAGATTCCAACTGTACTAAAACAATTTCCAAACTATGTTCAAAGAGAATATAAAGACACAGTTATATATTACAACATGAAATATAAATATGAGTTCAAAGAAGAGGCCTGGGATAAGCATAGAAACACATTTGATTCATTTGTATATTGATGAGTTAATGAGACTATGGCACATGCAATCAACCAGAGTAAGAATGTAACTTGTCTGGATTTAGAATGCTTTCCCAAGGTTGTGTTCTAAATATTTGAATAGGAATGACTTCTTTTTTTTTTTTTGGATAGTCATATTTTAAAACACTATCAGCTTTGATTTCATTTACTGGCATAAATTTCCTGACTTTTTGAAGCTATTTACTTGTATAACATCTGATATGCTGAACAAAATATCTGAGAGTGCTTAATATTTACCATCCTCTTAACTTACAGAATTGTAAGATAAAAAGTATTCTACTGAATGAATGTAGGTCTAATTCTAGTTCATTATTCCATGAAATTGTTATGTAATCATTAGCAAATCACTAGTTCTTAGGGGCTCTAGCTTCTTCAACTACAAAGTGAAGAGGTGACACTATTGAAGGCTTCTTGCCTTTACACACATTCTGGTCTTGTAACATCAGTATTAATCACCAAAACAAATGACCAAAAAGGGGTTTTGTGGGGTTTTTGTTTGTTTGTTTTGGTTTGTTTTGGTTGGGACAAGAAGAAATTCTTTCAAAATTTCAAGTAGGTATTATTTTCCACATATGAGATGACACAAAAGTAAGCCCTTTAAAGTTTCCCATGAGCAAATACTCACATAGTCGTCTGTAGCATCTTTGACAGCTGTCATCATGATCACCAGGACCAAAGGCACAAAAGTGGTAAACCAGGTCAAGGAGGAGATTTCTGGAATCAACTGAAACAAACATTACAAATATTTTAGGATTTTTAGCATCCTATGTATATCTTCCAGACTGTGTCACTGGAGGTTATTTTCAGTTATTTGTAAAAAATATAGAATGAATTTTAATAACTTGCAGTATAAAACAAATATAGTAGGAATAACATTGAACCAGTTTTCAAGCTATCAGACAAAATATAACTTTAATAGGAAGTTAATAAACTGAAATCCTCTACAAATTATCTTTCCCCAGATGTTAAATGTCACATGTGATTCTCAGTCTCTCATCAACTCTTAACCAATTCTTCTCTCATCAATTCCCAAAAACAGATCCTCTGAACCTCTACCTTGTGCTAGATTCTGTGTCAGGTACATTTCATGTATTGCAACATTTGATCTACAGCAAATATCAGTTAAATTTTTAAAAAATTGTTTACTTATTTATTTATTTATTGGAAATATACATCTAGAGAGAAAGAGAAGGAAATACAGAGAGAAACATATTCTGTCTGCTGGTTCACTCCCCAAGAGGCCATAATGGCTGGAGTTGAGTTGATCTGAAGCCAGGAGTTTCTTCGGAGTCTCCCACGTGAGTGCAGGGTCCCAAGGACTTGAGCCATCCTCTACATTACCAGCCCATAAATAGGGAGCTGGATGGGAAGCAAAGCAGCCAGGACAAAAACTGGTGCTGTTATGGGATCCTGGGTGAGCAAGGAAAGGATTTAGCCATTGAGCCATCGCACCAGGCCCACACTGAGTTAAATTCTATATTAGAATTGCTTTGGACAAACCCATAGAATTTATGTTTCTGTATAGCTCCAGAAATGCAGAAAGAGAACGCATTGTGAACAAAAACCTAAGGTCAGGAAATAGTGCAGCCTTGGGTGTCATGGCTTCATTTTATAAAGGAAGCACTTAGGGGTTAAGTAACTGAGCCATAAGCATACATGGCTGAAGTTTAAACGTGTCTTTTACTCCTTTTGCTTTGTAGCTCCACTGCCCCTCACCAAAAAGAAAGTTAGTGACCATGCACAGGACTATCTCAGAGAAGTGGTTTTCAAATGTGGTTCATTTTTGAGCTGCTTCAGGGCCAACTGGTAGGAATGATGGCAAGGATGTGTTCAGTAGATGGAGACCAGGACTCTTCAATAGACATTTGTCCCATGTGTTAGGATACCTCATGTCTCACATCATAGTGCCATGAACTGGATCCCAGCAGTGGCTTCTGATTCAAACACAAACCTTTGGAGAGTAGCACCTAGGCCCTGGTCACTGTGAGCAGGAGGGAACCAGTAGATCAAATCTCAGTAAATAAACTTCTATAGCAAAACACCTCCATGATAAATCAATTTTATATGACATGTTCCACATAAAATTTTCACACCACAGAAGCCCAACAGTACTCTGCTGGGAAGCAGAAAAGCTGCATTTCAGACCCATTAACTCTCAGCGAAAGCATTACACGTGACCTAACTTCTTGCATCTAATTTCTTCAGCCAAAAAACAAAGGAGGTTACACTAAACCATCTCAAAGGTCCATTTCAGATACAAACTTCTATGAATAAAAGTTTCTGACCACAAAATAAGAAACTATTTGGAAATGAACAAAAATCTGGAATGGGATGAAAAAATCAAACACAATGTTGTAAGAGGATAAAAGAGAATGAAATCTTGGGTTCTAAGGTCTCTTTAATAAATAGTGTAAGATGTTAAATTTTTTTTTTTTGCTTTTGTTTTTTATTCTGATTTTTTTCCCTGATCCACATCCAGTTCTTTTCTTCTGCTCCTATTTCTTGGGGAGCCATCCATCTCCTCTGGTTTCAGTCCACAAAATTTGGGTGAAGAAGATCGACTCCATCCTGACTCCAGGTTTCGGTGTATGATTTGGGTTAAGCGAATCACTGCCCCAAGTTCTTCAGCCATGGTGATTGGTTCAGGGATGAGTGTATCACCCCAGTTGGAATGAATCCCAAAACCTTCTCTGCAGAGGATGACCCAAGTCTTGGGGCCCCTGCCATCCACATGGAAGACCCAGAAGCTTCTAGTTCCTGGGTTTTGTCTGGCCTTCCCCAGACATTTAGGGGAGTAAATCAATAGATGAAAGATCTGTCTCTCCTTCTCTTTGTAACTCTGCCTTTTAAATAAATAAATATTAAATAAATGAATAAATGCTTTAAAAGAAAAAAAGATTTTTGCTATAACAAGAGAACTAATATACTCTCTTCCCACTTTTCCTCCCCTACTTTCTCCTTCACTGGAGATAAGTTGGAGCTAAGAATATGGAACTCTGGAGCTGTCAGAATTACCAAATAGTGTTTACCTTAGTGTCAGGTCAACATGGAAGAAAATAGAGAGGCCACATCCCAATAAAATTGTTACTTCCCAGGATTCCAGTTATAGTGGAAACAATATATGTCCCTGAATATATTCACCATTTACTAGAATTAGTGTAGATTTCTGTCATTTATAAACAGAAGATTTGTAAGGCAATGTTATTTAAAGATAAAATATTCAAAACTGTTAATAACGCAGATAATACATCTAATTAACCTTCTTACCTTCTATGATTAACAAACTGCAGCACATTCTGAATCCATCAATTTGATCTCATAAAATTACTCAAAAATACTAGGGAAATAACTGGGCTCTGTGAGCTATTTGTGTGTCTTCTTGGATTTAACATTTTGTAACATATTGGTCACTCAATACCAAGCCAATTAACTCCCTGATGTTATAAATTGATGTTGATGTTATGTTGTGGCTTTTCATTGGAGGGGATGATATTCTGCCAGCTCTACTTTCAAACTAGAGATGGTCTCCCAAGGAAACTGCTAAATTTATCTGGACAATAAGAGGCTGAACTCTATGCATGGTACATGCTTGCAATGAAGGAATCAGGACTGGATATGAACTGCACTACTGTAACACTGTGGAGGAATCCAACATGGGAGGAGGGGTCGAGGGAATCCCAGAGCCTATTAAACTGTGTCATAAAATGAAATTTTTAAAAAAGACACCATTAGAAAAAAAATACTAGGGAAATAACTGGCCTCTGTGAGCTATTTGTGTGTACACTCGTATGTGTCTGCTTGAATCTAACCCTTCTTTCTTCCCAAAGTACCAGTATAAGCTCAAATAGCATTAAGTCCAAATTTCAGTTACATAGGGAAAAAACAGAAAAGCTTCTACCTTCCAACAATCTACTCTAAATTGTCAAACTCATCACCCAGCAGTAAAATAGCATAGTACTATTATCTATTTTTCATATGTACATAAAATATGTCATTGTTCTCGGAAAAAATATGAAATGTGCCTAATTGAGTTCCCTAAGCCCCTCAGGCTTAGGCAACTAGAACTCTGCCTCAACCCTGGCAATCCCTGCGCTTCCAAAGTAGGAGGGAAATAAAAAAAAAAAAAGGAGGGATGCTAAGAATGGCCATTTTCAGGCTCTGGTTTGGTTCACATCAAGGGCAGGCCTGCATTGTTAAAGGACCTCAGAGTTTAAGCTGACAGATGTACTCTTTTTTTGGACCCATTTCTAGTCCTCCCACATCTGTGATGAGAAACTGTAATAGCAGCATTAAAAATCTGATAAGGACAGTTGTACTGAATCATGAAAATTTAGTTGATGAATTACCTTATTTTTTCAATTGTGTAAATCATTTTCTTAAACAGATATTGAATATTTACAAACAACATTACCTGTAAAATCAGAAGGAAAAGGAAGTATGCATTTGCCACTCTTTGGAACTGTTCAAATAAATTAATTGGCAAGAAGGTGAGAAGGCTGTACTTGGATGTGTGGATGCGATTATCCTGAAAAAGAAATAGCATCATGTTAGTTTGGAATAAAACATTGTTCATAATCAAAAATAGCTCTAAAATTTACAAAGTTGAGCATAAGCAGTAAACAGCAGCAGAAAAAAAAAAGAGTTTCACAGAAAATTTTAAACTCTGCATGGCCCAAGGCCCTAATTTTTTCCAAAATGACATACTCCATGAACTAGGTAAACAGATCTTTAATGCCATAAAATAAAATCAACCTTCACTAAAAAAAAAAAAAAAGTATGAATTTGGCTTGAATACCTACTGGATGCAGGGTCCATCAGCTAGAAGAAACACTGAAGGCTATCTGGTCTACCTTTCCAAAGTACAATTCCTTTAAGGACCAGATAAGGGATTCCCTCAGTCTGTGACAGCAAATCGACCGTCTCACAAGGCAACCTGCTCCCATTTCAGTTAGAATTGCTAGAAAGGCCTTTCCTCTCTAAAGACATAATTATTAATTTTGAAAGAGTTACAGAAAGATCTTCAACCCATGGATTGATGATCCAGATGGCCACACTGGCCATGGCTGAGCCAAACTGAAGCCAGGAGTTTCATCTGCATCTTCCACATGGATAACAGGGGCTTACACACTTAGGCCATGTTCTGCTGCTTTTCCCATGCCCATTAGCAGGCAGCTGGTTCAGAAGAGGAGCAGCAAGGACACAGCTGATACCTATATGGAATGCCAGCTTCATAGGTGCTGATGTGCCAAACACCAGCCCCTGGGAAGGTCTTGTATATATGAAAGCCTAATCTGCCTCTCTAACTTCTTGCCACACTCATGCCTTTTCATTTTTGAAACATTATTCCTCCAAAGCTGGAGGTAAATGACACTGAAAGGGACAGGGCTAAAAGCAAAAAAGTTAAGTAAAACAATAAAATATAGCAAGCTTCTAGATTCACGTTAACAGCTTTTTCAAGTATAACACATATTAAGTATGCTATATTTAATCACTTCATCCAACTGTACTCCCTTGAGTCTTAACTCTATCATACCCACAAAGCTGTGAACTGATAGGTCTTGCTGAAATTTAGTATAAACATGTCCAGAAGGGCATTTTTAAAATGAAGTTAGTTTGCTGTAGCTGGTTTTAAGTGAGTTTACACTTGCACTCTGGAAATCACTAACTGGCTAATGAAAATATAAGCATCTGGCAAATCACTACTTTTAACAATGACCAGAAAGCAACATATCAGAGCTATGTGCTCTGAGGTGCATCAGAGTCAGAAAAGAGGCAAGTGCAGGGTCGCTTTTCCAGTGTTAGCTATTCAAGAGTTGGGCTGGAACAGCAGGCTCTGAGAACTATTGATCATGACACGCTTTTCTAAGGAAGGGACTTAGAGAAAAAGGGGGCGTGGGAACAAGGAAAAGAAACCAACTGATTACACATTCTGTTTTTATTTTGTCCTTCTAAGTTAAAACTAAAACTGAGATGAAGCTTATTTCTTGCTAAAACGACAGATACGACATCTAACTGTCAAAACCCTTGTTGGAATCTTAAGGAAACTCCTGCAAAACTGAATTCCATATAGGTGAAGAGCTAATTTTGTGCAATGAAGTGACAATGCCAAGCAGAAACTGATAATTCCCTCCTATTTACTCAGTTTGACATATCGGGAATGGTGGTTCTCCTGCCTTTGTTGTAACTTAGTCACAGGTGATGCAAAGCTTCAGTTTCATCTGCTAATAAGGAACAAGGGCTCCCTCTCGTGGATAATCTCTGGAGCCATCCATTCTTCTTCATTTCACCCAAAAACAAAACAAAAATTATTCTTTTTTTCATTTTCCCTGCCTTGAGTCAGGCACGTTAATATTTAGTTTGTTGAGCCAGCCTGTGAACCTACAAGATTCTAGAGTAACACATTCCACAAGAAAGCCCAAGATTCCACTACTTTGTTCCACCAGGGACAACTAAAAACAAAGCCATCCAGAAACAGAGGACAAAGAGTAGTGGCACCTGAAACAACCACAGAGCATTACTGGTGCTGACAGACGCCAAGCTAGAAGTCGTGGCTTCAGCTGGTCAGCCGCGTGGACTGGTTATGGAGCCGCACGAAGGACTGGTCAGCTCAAGCACAGAGCCAAAGGGGGTGCTGGACCAGGCCAGGCCACCCACACGGTGGGAAAGAGGAACATGAGAGAAACACCTGCTCCCTGTAACAGGCTCACTTCTGCAAGTGAGAAGCAGAGCTGCCTGTCTTTATTCCCGCAGATGGACCCGACAGACATATGGATGACACACAGGGTGCAGAGAGAAGTGTCACACCAGCAGAGATCCCACAGCCTTGGAAGCGATGTTAGGATGAAATCAAAGCATTGGTCCTCGAAAACCTAGTAACAAAAGTGGGTGACTAAAGGGGGAATGCAGAAGAGGAACCACTGCTGAGACTGCAGCATACAATCAGTACAAACAGGTTAAAGGGGAAAGTGACTTGTAATCCGTGCTGTAAGTCTAGTCTTTATCATAAGGGTTAAAATCACAAGTAAAGCAGAAATCATTGAAAACTTTTCAGTCAAGAAGGAACTTGTGGAGGTTTCTTTCCAAACATGACTCTGGTGTAGAATAGACTGGAGATGACACAGACTAGGTGTTAGAAGAGCAATGTGGAGGCTTTGAATCAATCCATCTGCGAAATGATTGGTGACCTGAACCAGGGTCTTTGCCAAAGGAATGACAATGAAAAATGAAGAAAAAGGGAGCTGATACTTAAAAATTCTTTTTTAATGTCAAGAAGTTAGAGGGTGGGTAGGGTGAGAACTATCACTATTCTCCTAAATCTGTATTATAAAAAACAGAATTTGTTCACCTTATATAAATAGCAATAAAAAAAAAAAAAACCTAAGTCCAGGGGCTGACTCGATGGCTCAACTGGCTAATCCTCAGCCTGCAGACACTGGCAGCCCAGTCAGGCACCAGTTTGTGCCTAACTGCTCTACTTCTCATCCAGTTCCCTGGTTACAGCCTGGGAAAGCAGGGAATGATGACCCAAAACCTTGGGACTCTGAACCCACATGGGAGAGTTGGAAGGGACTCCTGGCTATGGGTAGGCTCAGCTCTGGCCGTTGCAGTCATTTGGGGGAGTGAACCAGCAGATAGAAGATCTGTCTGTCTCTACTTCCCTCTGGAAATCTGCTTTTCCAATAATAAATCTTTAAAAGAATCTAACAAAAGGAACGTAAAATGTATGTCACTGTTGTTTTGTTACAGAGATGAACATATACTCAGCTGAGACTAACAAACGCGTATTGGGATGACTGTGCACGCTCATATGGAGGGAGAACAGGGAGAGAACGGATTGCAAAACAAGAGTCTGATCAAGCATTTGTCCAAGACTTTGCAAATGTAGAATAATTAAAATTATTCAATTACTTGGTCCTTTGAATAGCATTTAAATGTTTGTATTCTGTAGTATTAATAAAATTTATATGTGGTTTTTAAAAAGAGCTGTTGATCCTCAGAACATCCTCAGAAAACCAGCACTATTCTGTTTCAGGAGGCATTCAGGAATTTCAAAAATCAGGGAATCCACACAAGCTGATTGGGTTTACAAGTGAGAGAGCCAAAAGTTGGATCCATGGCACACCTGCTTTACAATGATGTCCTCAATTCACTGTATATCAGAGGAGTCATCTGCTCTTGGGAAAAACATTCTTCTTCACTGCTTCTTCCAATTTTTAAGAAAGTGTCAGCCACTTTCTTATGGAAGGAAACAGATTATCTACTGCTCCTTCCCAGCCAATCCTCTCAGCAGGGACCTGGTGACCTACCGCATGCTGCAGAATTACAGCTTCCTCCTCTAAGTGGAACTTTAAAGGTTCATAGGAAATTCACGAGGGCTGTCAAGTCCACCTCCCCACTAACATTGTGAATTCCCCTTAAGTTCAGTTTCCCTCAGGAGTATTTCTCTTGGCCCCTGACAAATACCCATACAAACAAGTTAGCTTATTATAGTTTTCCATCAGGAAAGGCCAAAGTCTTATACATTTCCAGCTTTGACTAGTTGGTACAGAGAAAGAATACAGTCAAACTAATAAAATCTTCAGAGATCAGCCATCAAATGAAAGTATTAATAAAATAGGAAAGACTTTTTATAATGACATTCTCATTATACCCTCATTGTACAAGTATTGCACAACAAAACAAAGCAAATAGAAAACAAACCACTAAATTAACCAGAACATTTTGGAGATCTTACCTCAATTTTTTACCGGAAAAACTACTCTATTTCCCATATAGATATGAGGGCACTTTAAAAAGCTCATTAAAAATGAGATGGGGTCAGCATTATGGCATACGAGGTTAAGTCATCACCTATGAAAGGATTATGCAGATATATTTGTGTGCAACCTTCAAATAATCCAAGAGAATGAATATACACAAAGTTTTAGTCAAGTTAAGCTGTCTATGCCAGAATAAGAAGTCCAAAATCACCATGGTTTAACCTAGTTTACTTCTTGCACATGCCTGCATTTCGTCACTGTAACTCATGACAAACCAGCCGCCATCTCAGCAGCTTCCAGTTGCAGTCTAAAAAGAGAGAGCCAGTCCTGAGGAGTCTTGAATGCATTCATTAGGACTTTAACCCAAATGTTCACAATGCCTTGCCCAAAAAAGGCATGTGTGCAAACGACAGAGCATATAAACACTAATAATCGAAGTAGCTATTGGCTACCCCCTCCAAAATGGAAACCAACAGTGATAGTTGCACACTGTCAGACACATTCAGCCCCCAAACCATCAAAAAATAATCTCAGTGCTTCCAAGGCAGTCCTGCTAATGCCAAATGCAACACATTTGACTATCCCCTCCCTACCCAACACCTCCCAGCTAACAGTCCTCCAGTTTCCTGGTCCTGTGTGCCCTGGTTGGATTCAACTCCCATCCACAGTTTCAGGATCAGGCCTAGATTAGTTTATATCAACTCCATGTCCCATCCTCCTCATTAAAACGCTGAGTTTAGAGATGAGCACATGGCCTATGATATAT